GCGGGCGGGGGGGGGGGGGGGGGTATGGGCAGGCGGGCGGGCGGGCGGCCATGAATGTGTTTTTGGTATTGATGGGACTCGGGGAGATCTCTCTCTGACACGCCGCGTCCGTCTTCTCTCAATATTCCCAGCATCCCCCTGACACGGTTGAATATACAAAAACCCGTTTTGCCGGAAGCCATCTTGCCATTGACATTTCGCCTCTCCCAGCGCGTTACGGCTGAAGATCTCCGACCGTCAGGGAACAACGGCGGCCAATCAAGAGCCGCCCCTCGAATTTAGTGTTAGGGAATTTAGACATGGCCGCCATTTGCGTTCTGTGGCCCGGGATCGTTTCCAGCTTCAAAATTCTCCCTTTTTTTTTGCCAAGCCTTTTGGCAGAGTTGGCCTATCATGGGCGACATCATGAAGCGGCGAGGGCTTCAAACGTTTTGTAGCGCGGAGGGGTGGCGGGGGAGCAAGGTTTAGGATATCTGTGCCTCATCAGGCCTGGTGGTGGGCTGAAGGTGTGACACCGGCGCGCCGCTATCAGCGAGGAGAAAACAAAGGTGGAACGGAATAATTCATGAGCTTTTCAGACCTTAGGAAGACACAATGGGTTCTCTTATTTCACCTCACCTGAGATTCAGCGTCGGGGCCCGAAACACCCATCACACCTGGCAGCCTGTCGAGTTCTGGCACCCCTGGGTCCACCTCCTCTAATTACACTCAGTAAGCTCCTTCTTCCTTCCAGGTGGCCCCATGTATCTAGGGCCCTTCCAGGTGGCCCCATGTATCTAGGGCCCTTCCAGGTGGCCCCATGTATCTAGGGCCCTTCTAGATGGCCCCACGTATCTCGAGCCCTTCCTAGGTGCCCCATGTATCTAGGGCCCTTCCAGGTGGCCGCATGTATCCAGAGCCCTTCCAGGTGGCCTCATGTATCTAGAGCCCTTCTAGGTGGCCCCACATATCTAGGGCCCTTCCAGGTGGCCCCATGTATCTAGGGCCCTTCTAGGTGGCTCCATGTATCTAAGGCCCTTCCAGGTGGCCCCATGTATCTAGAGCCCTTCCAGGTTGTCCTATGTGACTAGGGCCCTTCCAGGTGGCCCCATGTATCTAGGGCCATTCCAGGTGACGCCACGTATCTAGGGCCCTTCCAAGTAACCCCATATATCTAGGGCCCTTCTAGGTGGCCCCATGTATCTAGGGCCCTTCTAGGTGGCCCCACGTATCTAGGGCCCTTCTAGGTGGCCCCACGTATCTAGGGCCCTTCTAGGTGGACCCACGTATCTAGGGCCCTTCTAGATGGCCCCACATATCTAGGGTTCTCCCAGGTGGCCCCACGTATCTAGAGCCCTTCCAGGTGGCCCCACATATCTAGGGCCCTTCCAGGTGGCCCCATGTATCTAGAGCCCTTCCAGATGGTCCCATGTATCTAGGGCCTATCCAGGTGGTCCTATGTATCTAGGGCCCTTCCAGGTGGCCCCACATATCTAGAGCCCTTCCAGGTGGCCCCATGTATCTAGAGCCCTTCCAGGTGGTCCTATGTATCTAGGGCCCTTCTAGGTGGCCCCACGTATCTAGAGCCCTTCCAGGTGACCCCACATATCTAGGGCCCTTCCAGGTGGCCCCATGTATCTAGAGCCCTTCCAGGTGGCCCCATGTATCTAGAGCCCTTTCAGGTGGTCCTATGTATCTAGGGCCCTTCCAGGTGGCCCCACGTATCTAGGGCCCTTCCAGGTGGCCCCATGTATCTAGGTCCCCCCCCCTCCCCCAGAGTCAGTTCATACACCTTCAGGCACCAATAGGTTAAGCCTAAAGCCAATTACAAAATTCTCGATCCATTTCGGAGATTGACTTCAGTCTACAAAAAAAAAGGGAAAATCCGAGAGGATGAAGTGGAGGAGGCAGGTCGACCCCCCCTGGAGAGCAGTCAAAGAACTACAAGTCTCAGCATGCCTCACCAGTCAGGTCACGTTGAGACTTGTAGTCCCACAGCGGCTGTCACTCTGTGGCTTGTCGAACTATTGCACCTTGAAATATATCTGTATGTTTTTACCGCTCCTGAAGGTACATCTGCCGAGCAGAACCAGATGGGCGTAGCGTACAGAGAGCGGCGACAACAACATCGCAACCTGCGAAAGCAAGCCACGGGCAAGCGGCGGCGAGGATGTGCAGTAACCATGGCAACCAATCAGCAACCCACCCCCCGCTGCAAGTGTGAAACTGGCCGGATGCTACGGGCGGCCGTCGCTCGGCTCTCCAATAAATATTTTGAAGCCCTGATGAAGGTGAAAGTCGGCCTGCGAAACGCGTCGGATCTTTTATGCCATCATAATAAAAAAAAAAACATTAAATCGATTTCAGCGATCGCTCCTGATTGCGCTTTCTGATGGGGGTGCCGACCCAGTGTGACGGGCAGCTTACAATCTACCGGGCGAAAGGAGCGGGACAGAGCACCACAAGAGCTTGCACTCTAAGGGTAAGGGCTGAAAAAATGACTATAGATACACTGAACACATTTAAAAAATGTCCTAACCCCATTTCCCAACCAACTCGCCCCAGGAGCTGACACTCTAGCTTCACTTTCATGAGAAAAGACAAGAAGCTTACAACCTGAAGGGGGGGGGGGGCTTGTCCGAGGGGCTGACACTCAACTGTACCCCTTACCCAGCTAACAAGGATGTTTACAACCTGAAGGGGGGGGGCTTGCCCGAGGGGCTGACACTCTAACTGTACCCCTTACCCAGCTAACAAGGATGTTTACAACCTGAAAGGGGGGGGCTTGCCCAAGGGGCTGATGCTCTAACTGTACCCCTTACCCAGCTAACAAGGAGGCTTACAACCTGAAGGGGGGGGGCTTGCCCGAGGGGCTGACGCTCTAACTGCACCCCTTACCCAGCTAACAAGGATGTTTACAACCTGAAATGGGGAGGGGCTTGTCCGAGGGGCTGACGCTCTAACTGCACCCCTTACCCAGCTAACAAGGATGTTACAACCTGAAGGGGGGGGGCTTGTCCAAGGGGCTGACACTCTAACTGCAGGGGCTGACGCTTACTAACTGCCACCTGACGCTCTAACTGCACCCACCCAGCTAACAAGGAGGCTTACAACCTGAAGGGGGGGGGGCTTGTCCGAGGGGCTGACGCTCTAACTGCACCCCTTACCCAGCTAACAAAGAGGCTTACAACCTGAAGGGGGGGGGCTTGTCCAAGGGGCTGACGCTCTAACTGCACCCCTTACCCAGCTAACAAAGAGGCTTACAACCTGAAGGGGGGGGGGGCTTGTCCAAGGGGCTGACGCTCTAACTGCACCCCTTACCCAGCTAACAAAGAGGCTTACAACCTGAAGGGGGGGGGCTTGTCCAAGGGGCTGACGCTCTAACTGCACCCCTTACCCAGCTAACAAGGATGTTTACAACCTGAAAGGGGGGGGGGCTTGTCCAAGGGGCTGACACTCTAACTGCACCCCTTACCCAGCTAACAAGGATGCTTACAACCTGAAAGGGGGGAGGGGGGCTTGTCCAAGGGGCTGACGCTCTAACTGCACCCCTTACCCAGCTAACAAGGAGGCTTACAACCGGGGGGGGGGGGGGGGCTTGTCCAAGGGGCTGACGCTCTAACTGCACCCCTTACCCAGCTAACAAGGAGGCTTACAACCTGAAGGGAGGGGGGGGGGGCTTGTCCAAGGGGCTGACGCTCTAACTGTACCCCTTACCCAGCTGACCATTTTTCAACGTGACCAAAGGCCTTGCCCGCCAAGCTTGCAATCTACAGGCTTTCAAATTTTGTAGCTTCCCGAAAAAAGCTTAGGACGTAAGATTTGGATTTTGTTTTTTTTTTTTTTTTTTTGAAGTCTTGCTTGAAAAGCTTGCAATCTAGACCTAGATATGGATCTCTGAATAGGGGCTTGCCCCAAGAGCATGCACTCTACGGGGAAAGACCGAGAAAAAAAAATCCTGGAAAACGTCCGTCCCTTTCTGGAATACTGGGACTTTTTTTTTCCCCCTGCGGGAGGACAAGAGGATTATCTGGGATAACTAGAGGTGGACCTTGGGAGTTGGGTCAGGTGGGCCGGTTGGGTTTGAGGGCCCTCACGGAGGTTTAGGCCCCTGATGTCCCCAGTACCAGGGATGTGAACCTCCCTCTCCAGCTCAGCTTAACCAGTGTCGCTTCATTAAGTGTCCCTTGATCTCCCCCCCCCCCACCCCCCCCCCCCCCCCCCACCCCCACTGCCATCTGTCACACCATCTTCCACAAATATCACACATCACCCTGCCCCCAACATCGCCCAGCAAACCCCCCGAGCTCTCCGGTCTGCCCTGCGAAAAAAAAGGGGGTGATTTTCCCATTGCTGCCCTACATCTCCTGTACTCAATGTCAGTCAGCCCCCATTGTTCTCCAAGCAGCTAAGCTCTCCAAGCCGTCCCTTTGTCTGCTCCAGGTCTCTCCAGCTATTCCCCATCCAGTGTGCTGTTATTATCACTCGTGACATCTGGGAATTCTTCATCTCCTCTCCCTCTCCTGGATATCAGGATTTTTCTTTGTTCCCCTGCCTGCCTGCTTCCTCTTCACCTTGGGAACCTCTCCCCTCTCCGCCTGACCTTCCTGGAGGCATCATGAGATGAGGCGGCAGCTGTCATCCTTCGCCCCTGGTCCACCAACGGATAGAGTTCTCTTCTAGAGGTGGGGGGGGACATCTCTGTTTGGAAATAAGGCTGAGACCCCATTTGGACATGACTACCTTTTCCAACCGCCCCCCCCCCCCCCCCCCCCCCCCAATGTATCTAAAAACTCAACTGGCAGCCTTGAGAACCCATCTCTGCAACTGGTGGCATTTGATGGGTGCTGGTGGGTGCCAACATGAACGAAGACCTGAAAGTCAGGTGGATGGTTTTGTAGGACCCTTAACCCCTGGGCTGGAATAAAAATAAAATGAAGAAGGAGTAGTCCATGACCCCCCCTTCCCCCTCGAACATGTCGTGCCCACCTCAACGCCAGGTAGAACCCCCTCGGCCTTACCTTTGTGCACCCCGGTGAATTTGTCTTTGATGACCGTGAGTTCATAGATTTTGCCAAACTGCTCGAAGATGGGCTTGAGGTCCTTCTCCTCTAGGTTCCTGGGGATCTGCCCAATGAAGAGTTTAATGGCATCCGGCTCCTTCATTGGGGCGAGGAGGTGGGTAGAGGGGAAAGGGGAGGGTGGCAGAAGGCACTCGTGCCCCGAAATAACCAAGACTCGACAGCCAAGGTGTGGAGTTCCCCCCTCAAAGGTGCCACCCAGCTCAACCTGTCCAGCAGGGTGTTTTTTTTTTCTTTGGGGTGGGCGGAGGGGGGGGGGAGGGAGGGGGGGGTTCCTCTTCGCCTTGTGCCCCTGGTGCCAATTCCGAGGGACTTGATGAATGCCAGGCCAGCTGAAGAAGTGCCCTGTGCCTCCTGTGTGATGCAGTTAGAGTATCGATCCCAGAGCCTGGAGGGGGGGGGCGATCACTTCAAGTCTTCTTCCCCTCTTCTTCTTCTTCTTCTTTTTTTTTTTTCTTTTTTGGGGGGGACAGCGGTCGGTACCCTCTCCCCCTCCCCTCCGGTAGACCCAGATGCTCCTTCTCCCTTTAGTGAATCTTGAGGTCTGATTCAAAATCTTTTCTTTCCCAACAGATGCCCCCTCCCTGGGTGCCCAATGCCCGCCCCAACCTGACTCTCAATGATGTCAGAGTGAGGGGCCGGGGATAAAAAGACACACACGCCCACAAACGTACACAAGGCTGGATGAAAGGAGGTGGTGGGGGGGGGGGGTAGATTAAAGGGATTCTGACAGTCTACCCATTGGATGGTAGCAGCTGTGTCCCATGCAGGGAGGCTATACAGGTCCTTTAACCCTTCCTCCGCCAAGGGGCTGCCAACCAATGGCACGCGGCTCGCTCTTTCTGGATGGACCCTTTCTATGCGCCGCGTCTGTTAAACGCACGTAGTCGGACAGATGGCTCCCTGGGACCCTTATGAGGCTTTTACAGGCTCTCTGGGATTGTCCATCAGGATCTTCTCTATTAAATGTTTAGCAGGGGATTGTAGGGAGCTTCTTGCTAGCTCTGAGCCCGGTAGGGGAGGTTTTGTGTCCCGGAATGAGGTTAGGGACACAGCCTGCACACCGGCCCCTGGGTTGCATGGTTGGTATGAAGGGGGGGGGGGGGCCACAACGCACATTGGGTTGAGGGGCCAGAGAGAGAGAGAAGAGAGAGAGAGAGAGAGCTGCTCCTGCTGTGGGAGAGGACACTTTGCAGACGCTCCCTGGCTGGGCCATTGTTCTGAGCTATCCTTGGTGCTGAAGCTTCCAGCTGGGGGAGGGGAGGGCAGAGAAGGCACAGAGGAGGGGGTGTGGGGCAAGGTGTGTAATGCAAAAATCAGAAAGGGGGGGTGGGAGAAAAGGGGTCCTAAAGGATGACAGGCCTGGAGGGGGGTCTCAGGAGGAGGAGGAGGAGGGGATGCATTGCAATTGAATAGAATTGGGATTTGCAAGGGTTAATGAACCCTCTGTGTGCTGGAGGCAGCTGATGAGTACGCAGGAGGGACAGGTGGAGCGGGATGGGGGCACTTATACATTGAGCTCTGTCCAGGGGCCGGTTGGGGTCTGCTGGAGGTGAGGGCCTTTCATTGCACCCACAGCTCTGTCCAGGGTCCAGTTAGGGTCTTATGGAGGTGAGGACCTCACATTGCACCCACAGCTCTGTCCAGGGTCCAGTTGGGGTCTTCTGGAGGTGAGGACCTGTCATTGCACCCACAGCTCTGTCCAGGGTCCAGTTAGGGTCTTATGGAGGTGAGGACCTCACATTGCACCCACAGCTCTGTCCAGGGTCCAGTTGGGGTCTTCTGGAGGTGAGGACCTGTCATTGCACCCACACTCTGTCCAGGGTCCAGTTAGGGTCTTATGGAGGTGAGGACCTCACATTGCACCCACAGCTCTGTCCAGGGTCCAGTTGGGGTCTTCTGGAGGTGAGGACCTGTCATGGCACCCACAGCTCTGTCCAGGGTCCAGTTAGGGTCTTATGGAGGTGAGGACCTCTCATTGCACCCACAGCTCTGTCCAGGGTCCAGTTGGGGTCTTCTGGAGGTGAGGACCTGTCATGGCACCCACAGCTCTGTCCAGGGTCCAGTTGGGGTCTTCTGGAGGTGAGGACCTGTCATGGCACCCACAGCTCTGTCCAAGGTCCAGTTGGGGTCTTCTGGAGGTAAGGATCTGTCATGGCAAGCACAGCTCTGTCCAGGGTCCAGTTGGGGTCTGCTGGAGGTGAGGGCCTGTCATGGCACCCACAGATCTCTCTAGGGTCCAGTTGAGGACTGCTGGAGGTGAGGACGTGTCATGGCACCCAAAGCTCTGTCCAGGGTCCAGTTGGGGTCTGCTGGAGGTGAAGGCCTGTCATTGCACCCACAGCTCTGTCCAGGGTCCAGTTGGGGTCTGTGTGAGGTGAGGACCTGTAATGGCACTCACATTTCTGTCCAGGGTCCAGTTGAGGACTGCTGGAGGTGAGGACGTGTCATGGCACCCAAAGCTCTGTCCAGGGTCCAGTTGGGGTCTGCTGGAGGTGAGGGCCTGTCATTGCACCCACAGCTCTGTCCAGGGTCCAGTTGGGGTCTGCTGGAGGTGAGGGCCTGTCATTGCACACACAGCTCTGTCCAGGGTCTAGTTGGGGTCTTCTGGAGGTGAGGGCCTGTCATGGCACCCACAGCTCTTTACAGGGTCCAGTTGGGGTCTTCTGGAGGTGAGGACCTCTCATTGCACCCACAGCACTGTCCAGGGGCCAGTTGGGGTCTGCTGGAGGTGAGGACCTGTCATTGCACCCACAGTTCTGTCCAGGGTCCACTTGGGGTCTGCTGGAGGTGAGGACCTGTCATTGCACCCACAGCTCTGTCCAGGGTCCAGTTGGGGACTGCTGGAGGTGAGGACGTGTCATGGTACCCAAAGCTCTCTCTAGGGTCCAGTTGGGGTCTGCTGGAGGTGAGGGCCTGTCATGGCACTCACAGCTCTGTCCAGGGTCCAGTTGGGGACTGCTGGAGGTGAGGACCTGTCATGGCACCACACAGCTCTGTCCAGGGTCCAGTTGGGGACTGCTGGAGGTGAAGGAACTGTCATTGCACCCACAGCTCTGTCCAGGATCCAGTGGGGTCTTCTGGAGGTGAGGACCTGTCATTGCACCCACAGCTCTGCCCAAGGCCCAGTTGGGGTCTTCTGGAGGTGAGGACCTGATTGCACCCACAGTTCTGTTCAGGGTCCAGTTGGGGTCTTCTGGAGGTGAGGACCTGTCATTGCACCCACAGCTCTGTCCAGGGTCCAGTTGGGGTCTTCTGGAGGTGATGACCTGTCATTGCACCCACAGCTCTGTCCAGGGTCCAGTTGGGGTCTTCTAGAGGTGATGACCTTTCATTGCACCCACAGCTCTGTCCAGGGTCCAGTTGGGGTCTGCTGGAGGTGATGGCCTGACATTGCAGGCACCCACAGCTCTGTTCAGGGTCCAGTTGGGGTCTTCTGGAGGTGAGGACCTGTCATTGCACCCACAGCTCTGTTCAGGGTCCAGTTGGGGTCTTCTGGAGGTGAGGACCTGTCATTGCACCCACAGCTCTGTCCAGGGTTCAGCTGGGCAATGTTGGGAATGAGAACCTGTCATATCCAGAGCTCTGTGCAGGCACCAGGGACTGTTGGGAATGAGGACCTGTCATTACACCAAGAGCTCTATCCAGGGTTCAGATGGGGTCTGCTAAAAATAAGGACTTGTCATTACACCCAAAGTTTTGCCCAGGTGGGAACTGTTGGAATTGAGGACCTGTCATAACACCCAGAGCTCTGTCCAGGTGGGGGCTGCTAGAAGTGAAGTCCTGTCATTCCCCTAGATCTCTCTGAAGGGTCCAGGTAGGGTCTGACATAAATGAGGACCTGTCATTACACCCAGAGCTCTGTCCAGAATCCAGGTGGGGTCTGTTGGAACTGAGGACCTATCACTGCATTCCGTGCTCTGTTAAGGGTCCAGTTGGGGTCTTTTGAGAATGAGGACCTGTCACCACACCCAGAGCTCTGTTGAAGGTTCAGTTGGGTTCTGTTGGCAATGAGGACCTGTCATTACACCTAGAGTTCGCCTAAGGGTTCAGTTGGGGTCTGTTGGAATTGATGACCTGGCATTACACCCAGAGCTCTGTCCAGGGTCCACATGGGGTCTGCTAGAAATAAGGACCTTTCAATACATCCAAAGCTTTGTCCAGGCTTAAAGTTGGGTCTGCAGGAAATGAGGATCTGTCATTACATCTACAGCTCTGTCCAGGGTCCAGGTGGGGTCTGCTGGAAGTGAGGACTGCCATTACACCTAGAGCTCTGTTCAGGGTCCAGATGGGGTCTGCTGGAAGTGAGGACTGCCATTACACCTAGAGCTCTGTTCAGGGTCCAGATGGGGTCTGCTAGAAATAGGGACCTTTCATTACATTCAAACCTTTGTCTAGGCCTAAAGCTGGGCCTGCTGGAAATTAGGTAGTGGCATTATATCCAGAGCTCTGTCTAGAATCCTGGTGGGGTCTGCTTGAGTTGAGGACCTGTCACTGCATCCAGTGTTCTGTAAAGGGTCCAGTTGGGAATGAGGACCTGTCACCACACCAGAGCTCTTTCCGGGGTCAAGGCGTGGTCTTTTGGGAATGAGGACCTGTTGTTACACCTAGAACTCTGTCCAGGGTCCAGATGGGGTCCGCTAGAAGGACCTATCGTTACACTCAGAGCTCTGTCCAGTTGGGGTCTGCTGGAAGTGAGGACTGCCATTACACCCAGAGCTCTGTCCAGGGTCCAGATGGGGTCTGCTAGAAATAAGGACCTTTCATTATACTCCAAAGCTTTGTCCAGGCCTTGCTGGGTCCTGCTGAAAATTAGGATCTGTCATTACATCCAGAGCTCTGTCTAGAATCCAGGTGGGATCTGCTTCAGTTGAGGACCTGTCACTGCATCCAGTGTTCTGTAAAGGGTCCAGTTGAGAATGAGGACCTGTCACTGCATCCAGTGTTCTGTAAAGGGTCCAGTTGCGAATGAGGACCTGTCACACCACCGTCAAGGTGTGATTTTTTTGGGAATGAGGACCTGTTGTTACACCTAGAACTCTGTCCAGGGTCCAGATGGGGGTCTGCTAGAAGGACCTGTCGTTACACCCAGAGGTCTGTCCAGTTGGGGCCTGCTGGAAATTAGGATCTGCCATTACATCCAGAGCTCTGTCTAGAATCCAGGTGGAGTCTGCTTGGGTTGAGGACCTGCGACTGCACCCAGTGTTCTGTAAAGGGTGCAGTTGGGGTCCT